AGGTCACTCGCTCTCAGCTCCTCCTTCTGACGAGTCCGTAGAGCCGAGTGGTCCTTACCCAGAGCTAGTGGGCTGTCTCATGTACCTGATGACCTGCACTCGTCCTGACCTTGCGTACCCTCTTGGCCTTCTGGCTCGCTACGTGGCTCCTGGTCGGCACCGAAAGGTGCACATGGATGCTGCTAAGAGGGTACTACGCTACTTGTGCAGTACATCGGGCATGGGGCTCGTGCTTGGAGGACGGAGCGACGTTGTCCTCACAGGGCACTCAGACGCTTCTTGGGTTGACGACCAGGCTACGCAGCGGTCGTCACAGGGTTACACCTTCAGCCTTGGCTCTGGTTCAGTTTCTTGGCGTTCTACACGCTCGTCTTCAGTTCTCAGCTCCAGATGTGAGGCTGAGATCTACGCCACAGCCATGGCTGCACAGGAGTTACGCTGGCTTACCTACCTGCTGACCGACCTGGGAGAGCGGCCTCGTTCTCCTCCAGTGCTGTACGTTGGCAACAAGGCCGCCATTGCCTTGTGTCAGGAGCACAGACTGGAGCACAGAACGAAGCACATCGCTCTGCGTTACTTCCTGGCTCGAGAGTTGCAGCAGCGTGGTCAGCTTCGTCTTGCTCACGTGGCCACTCGGGCCAACACTGCTGATATATTCACCAAGGCACTTCCATCTGGTGATCATCAGCGTTTCTGCACTTTGTTAGGCCTTGTGCCCACTTTTCCTCACTTGCTGTAGACTTTGCTTGTACTGTGATCTCTATATATATATCTGCATGCTTGTTCTGCTAGGTAGAGATCACTGTACTGCTGTTGTTGCATATATACCTCTGCATGTGAACTGGCCTTGTGGCCCTTTGCTTGTGCTCAGTGTGTGTGGTGACGTTGTGATCCACCCTGAGCTTGCTTTGCTTCTCTTGACTGGTCTTGTGACCCCTTGCTCTCCCCCACTTTGCCTATAGGGGTGTGTCAAAGTATATATATGCTATATATGTTTAGGCTGTAGTGGGGTAGCCAATATGGGGTACAGCCCCTTTTAGGGTTTCATACTTGTACCCAACCCTTTCATAGTTCATTCATTCCTGCTACTAGATTCTAACAGAAAAGAGGACAGAGAGGCTGCTGGATGAAAGGAATGGCATCCCAGGGAGGTACCCAGACCAGGAGGAGGATGAGGAGGACTGGGAGGAGCCAGCAATGGACTGGGACAGCGAAGACGAGGAGGATCCAACGGAGAGGTGGATACCAGACCAGGACGAGGTGTTCCTAGGGCCAAGCAGGGCCTACATGGCGGCACTGAGCGAGACTGAGGCGGAGGAGACAGCTGAGACCGCAGAAAAGGGGGTGGCAGCAGAGGGGACAGAGGAGAGAGCTAACAGAGCACGTGACGGAGAGAGAGCAGAACAGGAGGCAGCAGCAGGAGGAGACGGGCGCAGGCGGGAAAGAGGCGACGAGGAGTAGCATAGGTGGAACATAGGTGCAGCCTAGCAGGGGGCAGCCGCAATTAGGCTAGAAGCAGTGCTGAGGCAACATGCAGCAGCATTCGCACACAACCTGTAGGAACTGGGGAAGTGCGTGACAAGCACTATGCACCTGCCCCTGACAAGCGAAGTGCCAGTGTACCAGAGGCGCAGGAGAATGAGTCCCCAGGACATAAAATTTTGCACAGAAAAGTGCCGAGAGCTTCTAGCAGCGGGATTGATTTGCAGGTCAGCATCAAAATACACAGCGGCGACCGTGGTGGCAGCTCGGACGGATCTAACAGGGGCGGTGCTGTCACGGAGGATGTGCGAAGACTACAGAGGTCTGAACAAGGTAACAGCAACAGGCCGCTACCCCATGCCGATGGCGGAGGAATTATTTGACCAGCTGCAAGGCAGCTGAGTGTTCTCGACACTAGATCTGAGACAGGGCTTCAACCAGATACCCATAGCGGAAGAGGATAAGATGAAGACCGCTTTCCATGGGCCGGATGGTTTGTACGAATGGAATTTCATGCCATTCGGGCTGAGGAATGCCTCCGCGGTGTTCCAGAGGGTCATGGACGCGGTGCTGAGGGACATGAAGAATGCGGCCTGCTACATAGATGACGTGATCATCTTCAGCCCCGACAGCGACACGCACGTCAATGATATCGAAGCGACGCTGGCAGCCATCCAAGCAGCATGGCTGACTTGCCACCCTGGCAAATGTCGGTTCGGACACAGCAGCGTGGCATACCTGGGGTTTGAGGTGGCAGGAGGGGAGCTGAGCATCCAGAAAGCGAAGGTAGAGGTGCTGGACAGGGTGAGCCGCCCGAAGGACAGAAGCGGATTAAGGGCGCTGCTGGGCTTTCTGAATTACTACCGCAAGTTCATAGCAGACTTCAGCAAGAAAGCCGCACCTCTGAACAAGCTGCTGAGAGAGGATCAGAAGTGGCAGTGGGAGGAGGCGCGGGAGGGTGCAATGAAGGGGCTGATGGAGGCAGTAAAGGAAGGAGCAGTGCTGAAGCTGCCTGACGGGAAGGCGCCATTCGTGCTCTACACGGACTAGAGCAGTGTAGGGATGGGGGCAGTCCTGAGCCAAATGGAGGATGGGCAGGAGAAGGTGGTAGCATTCGCCAGCAGGACCTGCAACCCAGCAGAGGCGGATTATTCCTTCTATGAAGGAGAAGGGCTGGCAGCGGTGTGGGCAGGAGGACACTTCCGAGTCTATCTGCAAGGCAGGCACTTTACGGTGGTAACAGACCATCAGCCCTTGCTGTGGCTCATGCAGAACCAGACATTGATGGGGCGGAATGCGCGATGGGCATTGAAATTGCAGGAATATGACTTCACAGTGAAGCATCGCCCCGGGAAGACAATGCAGCACGTTGACGGGTTATCAAGGAACTCACCAAAGGAGAAGTAGGGGCCGGGCACAGAACCAGAGCTGCCCGCGGCAGCACTGACCGCCATGGTCAAAGAACAGGGGCCAGGAGGAGAGAAGAAGCGAGGGGCAGCAGACGTCCGGCAGGACGCAGAGACACTGGCATGGATAAAGGGAGAGACAGACGAGGGCAAGGGAGCAGGGTCCAGGGCCAGGGCAAGGGGACAGCACTACCAGTGGTTGCAAGGACAGGTGCAGCTGAGGACCAAGGACGGCTGGAAGAGGGTGCCCGAGCCCGTGGAACGAGAAAAGATCATCAAAGAAGTGCATGAGAAGCTGGGGAACTACGGCCCACTGCGCACGCAGCAGCTGCTGCACTCCGGATGGTGGTGGGCAGGGATGCGGAAGGTGGTGAAAGAATGGGTGGAGAAGTGTGAGCTCTACTGCAGAAACAAGGTAACACTACTGAAGAGTCAGGCAGAGCTCCAGCCTCTGGCAATAGTGGAGCTCGGGTACAGGTGGTCACTAGACATAGCGGGGGAACTACCTGTGAGCAAGAGGGGGAGAAGGTACATCGTGCTCATGATAGAGCACGTGAGCAAATGGGCGGAGGCACGGCCGTTGGTGAACAAGACAGCGGCAGCAGTGGCGGAGGCATTGTGATGCTGACGAGGTTTGGGGCATGTGGAGAGGTACTAACAGATCAAGGCACCGAGTTCCAAGGAGATTTTGATGAGCTGCTGGCATCCAACGGCATCCAACACCGCACCACCTCCAGGTACCACCCGCAAGCAGATGGCCTGACAGAGAGGCTGGTGCAGATGGTGAAAAAGGGGTTACGAGTGTACGGCGAGGTGCACAAGGGGGACTGGGACAAGAAGCTGGCATGGGTGATGGCGGGGTACAGATTCAGTAAACAGGCCGCGCTGAAGGACGTGTCCCCCTACTATCTGCTCTTCGGGAAGCCGCTGATACTACCAGTGGGAGCGCCACGCCTGCTGATAGACAGTGTGTCGGCAAAGACAGCAAAGAAGTGGGTAGCACTGGCAGACGCCAGAGCCGTGTACCTGAAGAAAATGCTGCCAGCGGCAATGGAGAGCCTGAAGGTGGCGCAGCTGAGAGACATCCACCGATACCGACAGAGGCAGCTGGGAAAGATGCAGCAGAAGGATCCTCACCTGAAGGAAGGACAGGAGGTGTACGTGCGGAGGGTAAAGCGGGATGGGCTGGACCTAGGTGTGTCCCAACAGAGGTGGACGGTCAAGGAGGTGCGAGAGTCAGGGGTGCTGGTGCTAGAGGATGAAAAGGGGAAGAGGGTTATGGACCATGTGACGAATGTGGCGATCGGGGGCAAGGGCAAAAGGGAGCGGGCTTACCAGGGTCCCATGACCCGGGCGAGGACGGCAGCAACAGGTCATGGGAGGGGGCAAGAGTGAGTGCATCACAGAGAGAACCAGCAAGGGAGGAGAGGAGAGGCAGAGGACAGACGTGCAGAGGTAAGAAGTCAAGGAATTGGCGGGGCTGAGAGGAGAAGGGGAAGTCAGGACAGGAAGTGTAAGAGCGGGGAAGAGGTGTGAGAGAAGTGAGGAGCAGAGGTGAAGAGAGAGTTGCAGAAGGGCAGGGAGGAGGAGGTGAGTTCCGAAAGCTGTCACATTTGCATGAATCTGAGGAAAGAGGGGTAAGCGCACGGGGGATTGTATAAAGTGTATATAATGTACATAGCGCACTAGGCTAGTAACAAGGATGCTCGGTGAAGAGACAAGTGGCGGTTGGGAGTGAAAGGAGGTGAGCTGGAGGTTGACGACTGCCGAAGCGAAGGGTTGGAGAAGTGCATGGCTTCCCCCCTCACCCTCTCCCCTCCAGGTACATGAAGGCGCATGTGCTGTCGGCTGCAGGAGCAGGTGCAGGCGCACCTCAAGCTGCACTTCGACACTGCTGAGGTGAGAGGGGGCATAGCGAGAAAATGTACGGGCTTCTGTAGGGGTGAGTGAGTGGATGCAGAGGTGAGTAGGGTGGTGTGTTGTGGACTTCGAAAGTTTTAGCAGGTGCAGTTGCATCTCAAGCTGCACTTTGATGCCGCAGAGGTGAGAGGAGTGCTGTGGCTCGGGTGATGCTTAGAGAGAGGTGAGTGGGGCTTGTGCCAAGCATTTGGCATGGTATGTGCGTACGTGCGTGCCTGTGTGCCGTGCTTACGTGTGCATGCGCACATGCAGGTGAGGGACGATGTGTTGTTGCACTGCCCATCATCCATGCATCCATGTCTGTATGTGCGCGTGTGTGCATGCATATGTGCTAATGTGTGAATGTGCATGCATGCAGGTGAGGGCCGATGTGTTGTTGCACTGCCCATCATCCATGCATCCATGTCTGTATGTGCCCGTGTGTGCATGCATATGTGCTAATGTATGAATGTGCATGCATGCAGGTGAGGGACGGTGTGTTGTTGCACTGCCCATCATCCATGCATCCATGTCTGTATGTGCGCGTGTGTGCATGCGTGTGTGCATGCATATGTGCTCATGTGTGAGTGTGCATGCATGCAGGTGAGGGACGATGTGTTGTTGCACTGCCCATCATCGGTGCGCACGCTGGTGAAGCGCCACGTGTACTCGCGCTTCGTCAACTCATCCTACCTCTTTGCCGGCACCACTAACATCTTCCGCGTGAGTGAGGGCGCTACCATGCTGCCGCCCTCCCATGCGGCCGCCCTCCCATGCGGCCGCCCTCCCATGCGGCCGCCCTCCCATGCTGCCGCCTTCCCATCCCAAGCGCCCATACAACTCACCCCACCCATCTGACACTCTCTGTCTCCCTATACCATCCATCTGTGTCACCCTTGTGTCTTTCATAATGCCACACGTGAGCTTTTGCACTACACCAAATCCGCTTTTTTCCACCTCATTGCATTCTCTTACTCCCAGCCACTCTCATATCCCTTATGGCCCCTACCACTGCACTGCTCTGCACCCCTCGCCTGCATCCCTGCATCCCCCCATGCGTGCATGAACGCGTGTGTGTGCGTGCAGGACCAAGTAACAACACGTGCCAATGTGGATTTCTTCCTGCCACACGTGGACCTGGTGGCAGCAGGCAACAGCACCACGGAGCTGCTCATCATTGCCTCAGGGCAGGCGCAGGTGCGTGCTTGATGGCTTCGTGTCGGCACAGCGATGTATGGGCACAGCGAGGTGTGGGCACAACGAGGTGTGGGCATAGCGAGGTGTGGACACAGCGAGATCTGGGCACGGCGAGGTGTGGGCACAGCGAGGTGTGGACACAGCGAGATCTGGGCACGGCGAGGTGTGTTGATGAAGTAACTCAGGAGGGCAGGAGGACAGGAGGTCAGGAGGACAGAATGACAGGAGGACATGGGGACAGGAGGACAGGAGGACATGGGGACAAGAGGACAGGAGGACATGGGGATAGGAGGACAGCAACGCAATGCGGACTTCACTCTCCTGACAACCTCGCATTTTTCCTGGCTCTCTGGTTCTTTTCCACTCTCACATTCTTTCACCCTCCCTCCCTCACTCACTCCCTCACTCTTGCTCTCCCTTGCCCAGGTGCTAGTGCGTGGGAAAAATGGCAATGAGATGCAGTAGTTCGTGCTGCACGAGGGGGACTGCGTGGTAGGTGAGTACGGGGCGTACGAGTTTTGCCAAGCTTCTGGGGACGTGGTGAGAGCAAGCGAAAGGAGTGCAATGGGGGGGAGGGCGAAGGAGGATCTGGGGCGGGTCGTCTCTAAGCCGACTGAGTCATCACGTGCTCTTTTCCTCTCCTCAACCCTCTCCACTGTCAGAATATTATCCTGGTTTGTAACCTGCATCTATCCTATAAGCTTCAGTTAGAGATAGACACCCAAACTCAGTTTCAAGAGTTGTGAGGACAATTCGTTTTTTTGATTCATTTTATCCTCTTTCCTATCCTATTTGGTGGACCTTCGCCGTATCACCCCACTCCCCACCCGACTCAGAGGATCCCCTTACTGTGCGACACGTTGTCAGTGTGGTATCAAAGCAAGGCTTAGGCCTCATACGTTGCCCCTATCCTTCCCTCTGCCCGCCACTGGCACTGCACACTTCCAAAGATCCCGTTTCTGTGCTGTATCCTTTCTTGATAAAGCTGTGGACAGTGCGAACACTGTCTGATCTGTTTGACATTGGATCCTCAATGCTAGAGCCTCATGTGCTGCCCTACCCCCATCCGACCTTCTCTGGATTCACCAGAGATCGCCTTCCTGTGTGACCTCACGGAGCTGTGGACGGTGCGCACGCTGTCGGTGCGTCCGTGGCTTGCACTCACCCCGCTGACGACCGCCACGTCATCGCCAACCTGCTTAACCGGTGAGTGCTCTGTACCCATCCACGCCTCACCCACCACACCCTTCCTCATTCATCTCCTCTCAAGGTTCACAGCAGGGCGGAGGCAGCAGTGTGCTTCTACACCACGCCTTGCTGTGATCATCACGTGCCATCCCCCATCCACTCCTAGCGCTCTTGCTCACCGTGCAAAGCATGCAGCTAAGCGAAGGCGACAGCATGCCTTTACCCCTCAGTTGTGTACAATCACCACAACTTACCTTACATAACCCCCCCTGCCGTCGACCCTCCATCTCCTCCGCATTCATGACTTGTGCAGGGCGCGCAGCAGGGCGGAGGCGACGGCCCGGTTCTACCCCGGCAACAGCACCATGGCGGAGCCGTCTCTGCTGCTCAAGGACGAGGTCGAGGTGAGGTGGTGTGGTGGGGGGGAGCTGCATGACAGCATGGCAGCATGGCAGTACGGCAGGGGGAAGATGCGGGTGTAACCAGGGGGTGTACACCTGGAACACTACCCTTCTCCTTTCTCCTGTCCCACGTATCCATTTTTTTCACCTTCTCTTCCGGAGCAGCCTGTTCTGAACGGCATTGATATCTTCTTCTTCTACCCTCTCTCTCACACCTTCGCCAACCGGAGTCTCGCACCTACACCTTCGTCACCTACCCTTCCTCACTCTTGTCGGAATCTTTCTTCCTCTCTGCCATTCTTCCGCATTTCAGCCCCTTTCCTTAAGGATACTTCCCTAGACCTTCTCCTCTCTTCACCCCATTCACCCCATTAGGTTCCTCAGCTCCCTCTTCATGCCTTGGGTCTCTGACCCTGCCTTTCCTGCCTTTCCCACTTGTGGGATCCTAGTCAAGCGAACTCTGCTAGGAAAACCTAACTCGGCTGACTGTCGGATAAGACAGCACCAACACTTCGTGGGCTTGCTATGGTTGGCTCCTCCACTAGCGCAACTCTAGAGGTTTCTAGGAACAAGTCTTTACTTAGAGTGGAAACAAACAAGCAAGCAATTGCCTCTACGCCGTTGCTTGCCTAAATATCTACGTCTGGTTACCGTTGCTCTACAACGGATGTTTACTTTTCGCTAGTTGGGCTCGATTCCCCTTCCTTGGCCACGTAGATTCCGGCCTGTCACTATAGAACACTACGCACTACTATACCCTGTCTTGCTTTTATATTGTTTCTTCCTATCTGCTATTCTACAATTAAAAGCATGACAGCTGTCGGAATCTTTCTCTTCCTCTCTGCCATTCTTCCCGCATTTCAGCCCCTTTCTTTAAGGATACTTCCCTAGGCCTTCTCCTCTCTTCACCCCATTCACCCCATTAGGTTCCTCAGCTCCCTCTTCATGCCTTGGGTCTCTGACCCTGCCTTTCCTGCCTTTCCCACTTGCCCCCTCCTCGGCGCCCACTCTGCCTTCTGCCGCCGATGGACTTTCTGGTTGAAAGGCTGTTCCCCACGCGAGTGCCCTGCGCTCCTTCTTGGCTCTAGGGTTGCTCTCTGGGGCCGGGCCCGTGCCACGTTCGTCTGGTGATCCCTCTTCTCCTGGTCTTTCTCTCCCACCAGCACTACCACCCCATGAATCCTTGACTTCCTTCACCCTCCAACGTTCTGTGCTCAGCCCGATGTCCAGCATGTCCTGCCTCGCCTGCTTGACGTACACTTCTTCCCCCACTCCCAACTGCTGCGCCTTCTGCTCTGCCTGTCCTTCTCTCCTTCGTTTGTATCTCTGCGCATCTCTGAGCTGCGCCACTTGCAGATTCTCTAATGCCGCTGGCAGCATTTCTCTCAGATACCTTGCCCGCGCTTCAGCCAGCCCCACCCATGCTTCTTCCGAGCTGGCAATGACTACATCGGTCAGCAGCAGCGGCGCGTCTACGGGCAGGATTGGTTCCCTCCCCAGCAGCAGATAATAAGGGGAGAAGTCCTTTAAAGCAGCCTGCTTGCTGAATCGATATCCAGCGACCACCCAAGGTAGCCGCGCGTCCCAATCCCTCTTGAATCGCTCCCCGTAAGCCCTTAATCCCCTTTTCACTGTCTGCATGAACCTCTCGGTCAGCCCGTCACTCTACGGATGGTACCGCGACGTCCGACGGTGTGTGATGCCGCTCGCCCTCAGCAGCTTCTCGAAATCTCCTAGGAACTCGGTACCTTGGTCTGTTAGCACTTCTCTGCAGGCGCCGAAACGCGTCAATACCTGGTCTTCGAATGCCTCTGCGATCTTTGCTGAACTTTTGCTAGGCAGCGCCTTGACCTCCACCCATTTGCTGCCGTGTTCAATCATGATCAGGATGAATCTCTTTCCCCTCCTACTGAGAGGCATCTCTCCTGCCAAGTCCAGTGACCAACGGAAACCTATCCCTCTGATGGGCAAGGACTGCAGCTCGTCTCTCCCTCTCTCGAGCTCCGCCTTGTTCCTGCTGCACCGCTCGCACGAGCCCACCCACTCCTTGATGTCTCCTCTCATCCCCGCCCACCACCAGCCCATCTCTATTAGCTGGCTTGTCCGCAAGCTACCGTAGTGCCCCAGCTGCCGATGCACCTTCGTTATTATCTCTTCTCGCTCCTCTTGCTTGGGCACCATCTTCCACCCTTCCTTGGTGTTTTTCTGCAGCTGATCCTGGTATCACCGATAATGCAGCCCCCTGGCTCTGGCCCGTTCACTCACTGGCTCCGATTCCGAGGTCTTTCCTTGGATCCAGCGCAATGTCTCAGCGTCATCCCAGATGGCTTCAGCTCCCTTCTGCGCTCTCTTCTTCGCACCTTCCCCATCTATATCCCTTGCCAACGCCACCAAACACGCCTCTGGACTCGTAGGTGGAGGGTTATGCGAGAGCCCATCCACGTGCTGCAGCGTCTTCCCTGCCCTGTGCCGTATCGTGAACTCGTATTCCTGCAGCCGCATCGCCCATCTGGCGTTCCTGCCCGTCAGGGCCTGGTTGGTCATCAGCCAGGTCAGAGGCTGATGGTCGGTGACTAATACAAACGGCCTCCCTTGCAGGTACACGCGGAAATGAGTGATAGCCCATACTGCTACGAGCCCCTCTCCCTCGTAAGAGCTTTAATTAGCTTTTGCGGGGTTGCAGCTCCTGCTCGCGAAAGCCACGACCATCTCCTGTCTCTCCCTTTCTTGACATAAGATGCCTCCCATGCCTGCACTACTCCAGTCAGTGTAGAGTACGAAAGGGTCCTCCTTGTTGGGCAGGGTGAGGACTGTCCCTGTCTTCACGACCCTGAGTAGGGCCTTGAAGGCCCCTTGTTCAGCTTCTCCCCATTGCCACGCCTGCTCCTCTCTCAGCAGCTTGTTCAGTACCGAGGCAGTGCAGCTGAAGTTGGGTACGAACGTTCGGTAGTAATTGAGGAATCCGAGCACAGCCTCAGCGTGCTACGGTCCTTGGGGGTGGGGACGCGGTCCAGCACCTCCACTTTCGCCTGCTGGATGCTCAGCTGCCCCTCTTGCACCTCGAAACCCAATTATTTCACCGTACTATCTCCAAAGCTGCACTTCTTCAGATGGCAAGTCAGTCATGCGTCTCGAATGGCTGCCAGAGTGTCGCTCACGTCCTTCACGTGTTGCTCAGCCAAGGCACTGAACACTACTACATCGTCGATGTAGCAGGCTGCAGCTGGTACGTTCCTCAGCACCGAGTCCATCACCCGCTGGAACAGGGCCGGCGCATTCTTCATGCCGAAGGGCATGAACCTCCACTCGTACAGCCCATCGGGCCCATGAAAGGCTGTCTTCTTTCGGTCCTCCTCCTTGATGGGTATCTGATTAAATCCCTGTCGGAGATCCAGCGTGATGAACACCACCGCTCCCTGCAGACAGTCAAATATCTCCTCCACAGTCACCTTGTTAAGTCAACTGTTGTCCCCGCACATCCTCCTTGCCGACACTTCCCCGGTGAGATCCTTCCGTGCTGCCACCACGGTTGCTGCAGCGTAGTCACTGTCTGAGATCTAGATAAGGCCCGCGGCTAGCAGCTCGGCGCACTTCTCCCGACAGATATCCAGGTCGCCTGGGCTCATCCTCCTTTTCCTCTGGTATATGGGCACCTCTGTAGTTAGCTTCACCTACATCTGGTGCGAGTTACATTGGCCCAACTCTTGCAGCGTATAGGCGAACGTCTTCCGGTGCTGCTTCAGAACTTCCTATAATGCACGGGCCGCTTCTGCCCCCATTCCGGTGCCTATGGGCCAGTCATCTTCGGGGCTCCTCTCCTGGTTCGGCTTCTCTGCTGGCAAGCTTTTTTCCCCATCTGGTGGCAGTACCCCTTGCTCCGCTGCTCCCTCCCTCCCTCACGCGTGTTGGCGAGGTAGGCGAGGCAGCGGTCGACCTCGCGCCAGTGCTGGTCGCTCCTCACCGTGAGGCCGCTCTCGAGCTTGCTGCAGGCGAAGGCGATGTCCGACCACGTCGTCGTCGCCCCGAACTGCAACGAGCCGACATTCTGCCGGTACTCCTCCTCCTGGCGCTCCTGAGCCTCCTCGTCGTTAAACGTCAGCTCGGCGTAGGCGTCGACCGCGACCGGCGTCTTCGGGGTACGCCCGGTCTGCTCCTTGTCGAGAAACCGCCTGCGCAGCTTGTCGGCGTAGCCCTGCTGATGGAGCCACAGCTTCCTTGCCGGCCTGTCACGCACGATCTCCATCCCGAGGTACTTTTGCATAGGCGAGGAGTGCCGCAGCTCGAAGGCGTGCATACCGACCAAACTGACCAGCGCATTACTCATGTTTGTAGAGATGCAGTTAGTACCATATTCTTGCCAGTCCACTAGATTAGGCCATCTACTTTAACAACACTAGGTTCTAACCTTTTAGATCCACATAATTTAAGAGGTCGTCGACGTCCGGATTAAAAAAAACTGCCGTATTTTATTAAATTTCACCGTAAAAAACGGCCGTTTAAAACGGTAAAAAACGGTTCCCGGGGCCTCTTCAAATTGAACCCTAACTTCAGCAGGATGAAGGGGACAGACCCCTTCTTACATGTGTCCGGTTTCTTGCATCATCGAAAATGTTTTTGACCTTGTTTCTCCCTTTTTTTTCTTGATGAACAGATTTCTCTAACAAAAAAACGGCAGTTTGTTTTGAAAAATCACCGTTAAAAACGACCGTAAAAAACGGACAAACTTTTACCAAAACCGTATTTTTGCTCCTTCGTCGACGTAGACTAGCACCCAGCAGGCCACGCCATCCCCACCGACCTTGAAGTAGAGCGCCGTGTTGACCTGGCTCTTCTTCCAGCCAGCGCCCAGCAGCACACCGTCGAGAGCCCTGTACCACAGCAGCGGCGACTACTCCAGCCCGTAGAGGCTCTTCAGCAGCTTGCACACCCGGCCGGTCCGGCTGGTACTTGTACAACACCCGATCGAGCTTGCTCTGGAGGAAGGCGTTCTTCATGTCGAGCTGCATCGGGTTGAGTTCGAGGACGGCGACGATGCAAAGGAAGATCCTCAGCGAAACGTAGCTGCTCACCGGCGCGTACGTCTCGTCGCAGTCGGCGCCGTACACCTGCGTGAAGCCCTTCACAACCAGCCTCGCCTTCTCGCGCTCGACGGTGTCGTCGATATGGTACTTCGTTGTCAGCGCCCACCGGTTTTTCATGATGTTCACCCCGGGTGGGCGTTCGACTAGCTCCCAGGTCCCCATGCCGATGAGGCTGCGGATCTCCTCCTCCCTGGCGGCCTTCACCGCCTTGCCCTTCCAGCTCGCCAGCGCCTAATTCACCGTCATCGTGGAGATATCCTAGAAGTGCTCGGGGTCGGTGTGCATGTCGGGGTC